GTGTAGCGCCTATGAAAGTTAGTTCGAACTAACGTCCATTAGTTCGAACTAACTCTGTTGTGTAGACATACCCTGGGAGTTTTGCCTGTATATTCGAACTAGCTAGTTCGAACTAGGCTTAATCCTCGTAAAATGAGGTTTTCCTAGTTCGAACTAAGCTCTCCGCTAGTTCGAATTAAGTTCAAACTAACGGAGTGCTAGTGTAGCGCCTATGAAAGTTAGTTCGAACTAACGTCCATTAGTTCGAACTAACTCTGTTGTGTAGACATACCCTGGGAGTTTTGCCTGTATAAGAGCACAGTAAAAACTAAAAGACAGATTTTGTCACTCTTAATTACAATGATTTCAGCATTACTTACAGAGTAAGTTGTGAGTAGGGGTGGCAAAATTAGACTGAGAGAAGTTTGATGGTATTAATAAGTCATACGGCCAGAAAGGAGCATTGTGTTGATATAGTTTGCCCTCCTGCGTAACACAAGCCATAGGACTTCCCTGAATTAATTCAGGATTGAACTAGGGCTTGTCTTTTAGGAAAACATCCAATCTTGATTTATACATTTCCAAATGATGGTGAATCCACCACCAATCTATATACGTTGTCCCCATAGTTAGTTACCCTCACTATTGAAAAAATTGCGCCTTATGTTCCATCTGAATTTGTCTATCTTCAATTTCCAGCCATTGGATCTTGTTATACCTTTACCTGCTAGCCAGAAGAGTCTAGGACAATACTACAATCCCCTTTTCAAACCAAACACTCATAAAGAACGTTAACTTGAAATTGTGCAACATCCGTCTCTCCACGTTAATTTTGAAAAACATCTGGATCATGCTATTTTGCCAGTGTATTTCTAGTTTACTATAGATTTGGTGCAACACCATTCCCAAGTATTGAACAGTGGCACATGACACAAGTGAAGAACAGCCACAAAGCACAATGTATTTGTATTATGCAAGCGTTATTGCTAATTCCTGGGAAGCAGAGACTCTGGAGAAGGACATGGAGGTCATGGTGGGTAATCAGTTGAACATGAGCTCTTAATGGGATGCTATGGCCAAAAGGGCTAAGCCCAGGTGCTTTCCCTTAAGCCAGTGTTTCTCAAAGTGGTCCACGGACCCACTCTGAGAAAGCTGCTACTGGGCCATTCTGGTTTGTTTATTTACCGGCTCCCATTGGCTTCAGTTCACCATTTGCAGCCAATGGGAGCCCCAAGGCTCTGTGTCTGTGGAGCCTGTAAGTAAACAAACTGGAGCGGCCCGGTTGCAGCTTTCTCAGAATAGGTCCACAGACCACTTTGAGAAACACTGGCTTATGGCCTATTGAGCAGCAAATAATCAGTCCATGTGTATTGGCCCCATTTTCATGGATTCCAAGACCAGAAGGAACTATTGGTACTATCAAGTTTGACCACCTCTACAACACAATCCATAGAATGTCCCCAAAATAATTCCTAGAGTATAGCCTAAAAACAGCCAACCTTGCTTTAAAAATGGCTAGAGATGAAGAATCCAGCACAACCACTGGGAACATTTTTCCAATGGTTAATTATTCACACTAGTAAAAATTGATGCCTTCATTCCAGTCAGATTTGTCTATCTTCAACTTCCAGACATTGGGGGGTGTTATATCTTTCTCTGCTAGATTGAAGAGCACATTATTAAATATTTGTTACCCATGTGGATGCTTATAGTCACCTCCTACCCTGCTTTTTCTTAAGCTCAATACATTGAACTCTTAGAGTCTCTCATGATAAAGAATGTTTTCTTATCCTTTAAACCAGGAGACTCAAACTTGGCCCGTGAGTTTGAGACCCCCTGCTTTAAACGTTCTTGTGGCTCCATGCTGAATGCTCTCATTTTTATCAACATCCTTCTTGACTTGTGGACCCCAGATCTAGACACAGGAGGGGTAAATGGAAGGATGTGAGAGAGGAATGAGGCAAAAGCAAGCAGGGAAACCTGAGAACTGGCTGTCCAGGGGGTCCCTTTCAGCACACACCTGATAGCCTCAGGCAGCAGCCCCACACAGTAAGTCCTGACCTGGTACCCTGCTGGAACTAGTTCCGGCTGGCCTTAAATGCGATTCAGAGTCCACTCAGTGTGGAAGCGCTATTTCAAAATGAGCTGTAGTGTAGACATACCATTAGAGACTAACAAAAATATATTAATAGTATCATGAGCTTTTGTGGGCACAACTTACCTCTTCAGCCAAAGGTAGTGTTCATTTTCTTTTTATTTGAGTTCATATTAAATAAACATAAGCATTGTTGTTCTTTGTTAATTATCCCTTGTTTTAATATATTTTCTTCCACACCTGAGGATTATTTAAAATATACATTTATATCTACAGTTTTTGTTTGTACTGGTGAGTGCACATCCACACACTATCTCAATATTGGTGTTGCACATAAGAAATTTTAACCTGTTCAAAAGAAAATTCAACCTGCCCACAGTTGGAAAATCTTAGAGGGAACACTGGTCAGTTGATTATCTACCATGATCACTACATCTTTTTCAGAGTCACTACTTCCCAGGAAAGAGTTCCCTATCCTGGAAGTATGGTCTACATTTTTTGTTCCTAAATGTATGCATTTACATATTTCATATTAAAATGCATATCATTTACTTGGGCCTAGATCTCTATATCAATGACCTGTCCTCATTATTTATCACTACCCCAATTTCTTTGTCATTTGCAAACTGTATCAGTGATGGTTTGATGTTTTCTTTCATCTTATTGATATAAATGTTACACAGCATAGAGCCAGCAACTAATATCTGCAGGATGTCACTAGAAATACACCACTCTTCTGATGATGATTCCCCACTTACAATTACTTTTTCAGATCTATCAGTTAGCCTGCTTTTAAGCCATTTAATGTGTGCCATAATAACTTTATATTTTTCTAGTTTTGAATCAAAACATCATGTAGTACCAAGTTAAATGCCTCGCATAAACCCATATTGATTGCTATTATTTCTATTGATCTCCTTTAATTATTTGTTACCTGAGTCCTGTATCAACCACTCCAAGATAGATGTCAGACAGACATAATTAACAAGGTTGTCTCATTTATATTTTTTATAATAGTGTCATGACATCAACTTTCTTCCTGTCTTCTAGAAGTTCCCATATGTTCCAAGACATTTTAAAAAATCAACATTAATAGTTCACTGAGCTCTTCAGCCAGGCCTTGGATGCAATTTTTTTGCACTTGCTGATTTAAAGATGTCTATCTTTAGGAGCTTCTGTTTAATGTCCTCCTAAGGTTCTTGTGCAATAGAAAGTGTGTGCTCATATGATATGACTACATCATCTAATTTTTCTCCCACCCCCAAATAAAGAACAGAAATATTTATGGAACAATTCTGCCTTGTCTGCTTTATTATTTGTAATTTCAAAATTTCCATCTAATAATGGACCAATACCATTGTTAGAATTCTTTTGTTCTTAATATACTTCAGAAACTCCTTATTGTCCTTAACTCTGCTGGTCATAGATTGATCCTTGTGTTCCTTTGCTTCCCTTATCAATTTTCTACAATTCCTAGCTTCTGATTTATAGTCATTACTATCAACTGCCCTTTTCTTCCATTTATTCATTTCCCTTCTAAACCAAGTCATTTTTAAAATCAATACAAACTTTTTCTAGATGGCTTTTTACTTATCTACATATCTATTGCTTAAACAATTCCCATGTCTCCTTCACATATTTTTGATTAAATTATCTTCTCAACTGATCTGGCTCACAATTGTTTTCAGTGTTAGGAAGGCACCAAGTGCATTAATTTTCAGGACTTTTTATTTGCACATTATAAATGCGATTAACTCATTAGCTGTATAAGGCAGGGGGGTTTCAAACTTGGTCACGGCTTATAAGGATTGCAAGATGTTTTTTTACCTGCACCTCCACAGGTATGGGTGATTGCAGCAACTGTTGGCCATGGACTGCTGTTCCCACCGTTACCAGAGAAAGCAGGATCCTAAGGTCCTGTCCTGTCCCTCCTGTGACAAATCTGGTTTAGTTTCCTGTATTTTATTCCTTACCAAGAAGAAAATCTGTATCCCTGATTTCCCCCTGTATGAAAGCAAGGCTAAGGGTACATCTACACTACATGCTTCTTTCAGAATAAGCTTTTCCAGAAGATATCTTCCAGAGAAACTTATTCTGAAATAGAGCATCCACACTACAGTAAAGCGTCAAAATTAGTCTGAGGCAGGCTCCCCTAATGTGCACATGCTATCTTGATTTAGAGCCCCAGGAGGCACTGGTAGGAATAACTTTAGAATGGCCCTAGTGAGGAGGTATTTTGACATAGCAGCAGTGGAGCGTCCGCACACACCATCTTCCGAAAAAGCTTTTTCAGAAGAGGAGTTATTCCTCATGGAATGAGGTTTACCAACATTGGAAAAAGCCCTCCGTTATTTCGATTTTCTTTCGAAATAACGCAATTGCTGTGTGGACACTAGTATTATTTTTCCAGAATGATGGCCGTTATTCTGAAAAAAAAATGGTTATACTTAAACCAATGAGCTTCTAAAGTCCTTGCCAACTGAGGGCTTTGGTCACTTTGTATTAGATACACCTTGTGTCCTGGCAGAAAGGGACAGCTCGTAAAGTTCCTAAGGTGTATGGTGAGATTGTCCCACAGGGTTTTTCTTAACAATTCTCTTTCACATACATGCAAAAGATTTTATTCTAATCACTGAATTCTAAAAATCTCCAAGCACACTGTGGTGTTAAACAAAATACAGTCCCACTTTCTACCATTCATTACAGGTGCACAGATCCATTTGTCACTGTTCTGTACTAGCAGCAGAGTAGAATTTGGCTCAGTGTGCATTCTGACTATCTGAACACCACACAATATTTACCTCTGCAGGAATAAACTAAGAGCCAAACTCAAAGCCCACTGAAGTCAATAAGAGTCTTTTCAAGGACCAATACAGGCTTTGTATCCTCAGTAAGGGCCTGATTCCAAGCTAAATTAGGGCAAAAATCAACAGGGAAAGGACATTTATTGTTAGAATGAAGACAAGGGAAGGAGTTAACAATATATATTGGTCATTGGGTGCAAACAGTGTTTTGTGTTGTACAGAACACAGTGATGGTCCTTGCTCAGAAGGCTTTTTAAAGTCTCACCTAACGCCCTGTTGCAGAGAGTTGGACTCCGTACAGATGTGTGAGTGAGCCCATACAGTTCCCTTAGCAACATCAGGGCCTAAATTGTACAACCAAAACAGATTAAATTAGCACAATGTACCCAACAAAGTTCCACTAATCTGATACAGTTATTGCACATTGCTTTAGAAATTGAAATATTTAGTAACTTTCAGGTTAATTACAATAGAGTAATATAATATTATTAAGGCTGAGCGGGTACATTTATAGTTAATCCCTATTTGCAATCACTCAAATTTTCTAGAACAAACAAATTCTAGCACAAAACCTCTTCTATCTGATTTTAGCAAGGAGGGATTTTTTAGAGAGTTTCAAGAGTTTCATTTGTAGATCTCATATATCACTTGAAGTTAAAATAACAAAACAAAACACAATCCGTGAGTCTGTTTTGCAAGTTTGAAGCTGCAACACACAGGCATCCCAGCTCTGGAGATAGATTGGAATTCGTGTGCAATGTATTTTCAAATGTTCATAACTGCTGCAAAAAAAAATGTTTAGAGCTAGCACATAGTGTCATTTTCTGCTCAAGAGGGATTACTGATGTTTCCAATGTGATGTTGTCCTTTTGTGGGGAATAAACCCCAGAGCAATTATGTTAAAACCACAGGAAAGAAGTTTTTCCATGCTCATGATTACAAAATACCAGAACAAATTTGCTCAAATGTTCAAAACTTAAAAATATATATACACACAATTTTAGACAATGACCACACATGAGACTATCATCTCTAGAGGTGACTGTTTCAGGACCTAAACAACTAAGAACAGAGGGTGACAATGGAAATTGTCTTGCAGATGTAACAACCAGAGATCACTATAACATACCACTACCAAAATCATGCAATATTATCAGGAGCATAAACCAAGTGAGATAAGATCTGATCACCAATTTAGTGCATCATACTATATAAGTTATTTTTTTCCTATGGAACTTAATTCTGTAGTTCTTAAGTGTTTTGTAAAATGTCCTTTTGGGGGACAAATATTTGTAAAAGTGATCAGTAGTCTTTACTTAATACTAAAATTATACAAACAAGGCTATTACAGTGTATCAAATGTGGCAGCGGTTAAAATGTTGTGTATTCTAAAAGACACTTTTAATTTGTTGAACCACTTGCTTTAAAAGTGCTTTTTCCAGATTTTCTTTTTAGGGGTAGGTATTTTTAGATTTGTGCAACGGCCAAAAAAGGTTGGCATCTCGCATGCTGCAAATCATTAAAAGAAAGCAAAAGTTTTCCAGACTTTTCTTGCACGTTCCACAAACAGCATGGTGAGGCTTTCATTGTATTATAAAGCCAGGGGCTAATTCTGCAGCCCTGGAGCATCCAAAGCTCAACAGAAGTCAGTGAGGGTACGTCTAAACTACATGCCTCCGTCGACGGAAACCAGGGTTACCTGTGCCTCGTGAAACCAGGGTTACCTGTGCCGATCAAGAAAGGCTTCTTTGTCGGCGCGGCGCGTCCAGACTGCCCCGATCTGCCGACAAACAGCTGATCGGCAGAGCGGGGCAGCCATTTAAATTTAAATGAAGCCGCGATTATTTTAATCGCGGCTTCATTTCCCTCTGCCGATCTGGCTAATCTACATGCCTCCGTCGACGGAGGCATGTAGTCTAGACACACCCTGAGAGTTTTGGCAGCTCCAAAGGATCACTTTCATTTTTCACACATTTCATTCACAATCATTTGGCTTTAGTTTAGACACAGGGCATCTGCTCCTCTGGTGTAACTCAGGAACATTCCCGCAAAGACAGAGGAGTTATGTTGATTTTCACGAGCTGAGGATCTGGTCCAGAGACCCCAATTCACTATTGTTCTGCACTGTGTGCATTCATTTACACCAATGCAAGGTATTACTGTTCCGCTCTGCTAAGGCTTACCAGCCACTTTGCACTGGCCCAAGTGAACAAGCAGAACAACTATGAATTAGGCCAAGGAGACCTAATGTTCAAAGCGTAGGCCTTCTACTTTGTGCCCCAAAGTCACAGTGAGCTTAATGAATCTGTTCCCTAAATGCCTGGGTTGTGGGTGCAATCTGTGAGATACCTACACACTGCCAATGATCACACCCACAAGTTGCAGTTGTATAGAGAGGCTGTTTTAAATACCACACCCTAGACAAGCAGGCCCCGCTCTTTAGATACAATGATGGGCATGACATTACAACTACTCAGTGTACGTACAGCATTTGAATCTATTTAAACTCTGTTTTAGGCACAACTACATTTGGGCACCAACAACACGCCGAAGTGAAACAGAGCAATGGTCCCTCATGGACAGAAGCCGGCAAAGGAACCAGTCAGCCAAGTCAGTTGTCATTGTCGGGGTTTATACTGAACCCGGCATGCTCCCATGGGCTGCTGTGTCCCCACTAAATGGAGAGGGCTCTGCAAACAGATACAAAAGCAGTAGAAAGACATGATCAATACACACTTGGGTTAGTTTACTGAACACAGCCCTGCTCTTGGTTTGCTTTGACATTAGAGTAATCAGCATTGTGTCTTAGAGATTGGTTTTGCTTTGCTACACAGAGTGCAGAACCAATATTATGGCCAATGCTTATTCCTACTGAAGCCAGCGGGAGTTGTCATTGTCTTCAGTGGGAGCAGGTGTTGGCTCCCATGCTACATATTATGTGGCTCTAATACAGTGCAGGGCATGAGACTTTCTGGAACTCTAGGGGACTCAGTTTACTTTCAGTGGCATCATTTCTTGGCGTAGCAGCTAGCAGGTGCAATTCTCTCCAGTGGGAGTCCAGGCACCAGTGCTGCCGTAGTCAAAACTGCTGGCCGAGGTATCCTGCCCATGAGGTATCCTGCTCTTTCCCAGGCTGCCCTGCCCTGCCCACCAAGGCATTTGTGGCTGTGCACCATCGGTAGAAACACAGGCTGTCGTCTGTGGGTGTTCTGCTCATCCGCTGGGCAGCACTGGAACCTCTCCTGAGTGGCCGCCCAAGTGTGCACCTGACAGGGAACACTGCTCACTAGCAAGGGATATTTAAGACTTAATAATGATCATATAGTGCCATTGGATGCTTGCAGGGCAAGAGGGCACAGGGATGTTCAAGCAGCTCCCAACATGCTGCATTCCAGGCACTGGGCCTATGTGTGAAGAGAGTTGCCCCTGGTGGAGCCTGGAGTCTGGGTATGAAACTTTGTGCCCTTTCTGCAAAGGAATGCAAACCCTTCACCTCGTATCAGAATGGGTAGGAATGTGAATTCATTGGTACTGTTATCTTGCTTTGCACCTGGTGTCCTTTTATTTGGGCACATGAGTGCAAAGGCAGTGGAGAACAAGTCCCTTGGAGTTTCCCCCACCTGGGACTAACCTTTGAGCATGTATGTAGGGGCAAAGGGACATTCAGTCATAAGATTATGTATGGAGTGACAGTTAAAAACATTTCTATGTCCTCCACCCTGTACTAAGTATCTGCTCATTCACAAAAAGCACAACGTCATTAAAAGAAGCTGTGATGAGTTTAGCCATCCTTGGGGCAAAATGCCCTCTCAGCTGCATTGCTGTAAATCCAGAGTAGCTCCATTGGTTTCAGTGGAGTTACTTTGGATTTACACAGCTAGAAGTGAGGGAAGAATTTGCCCCACACACATTTTATAAACAACGTGACAGACAGTCACAGTTGAGAATAAACAAGGTTCAAAGATTTCAATTAAACATACAAATATTTTACCTCCTTTGGTACTGGGTCCAAAAGAATCAATTCATATTTGTAAAGTAACAGAACAACTAGCATGTGAACCTCCATTACAGCCAGCCACCTAACAGACAAAAGAGAAAACTGTCATGTATCTGGTGCGACCATGCATATTAGCATAAAAAGCACACAAGCCCCAGGCTTGAATTTTCAGCTCTCTCAGGTTTCCGCTATGCTCTCTTCCTCGGTTGAACCTTACCCAGGGGCTCTCTGAAGGACCAGATCCTGCCCTTCTATCAAGGCTAAACGCCAGAGTTTGCTTTGCCCCAGGAACTTCTCTGTGGGTACGTCTACACTAGCCCCCTAGATCGATCTAGGGAGGCTAATGAGGACGACCGGAACTGCAAATCAAGCCCGGGATTTAAATACCCCGCGCTTGATTTGCATGTTCCCGGCCAGTCGCCATTTTAGAAATTGACTAGCCTGAAGTAACTGCCCGCGTCTACACGCGGCAGTGAAACGGGATTCCGATTTAAAGCCCTAACTTGAATTAGCTGGTATTCCCCCTGCAATGAGGTTTACTAGCTAATTTGAATTAGGGGCTTTAAATCGGAATCCCGTTTCACTGTCGCGTGTAGACGCGAGCAGTTACTTCGGGCTAGTCAATTTATAAAATGGCGACCGGCCGGGAACATGCAAATCAATATTTAAATCCCGGGCTTGATTTGCAACAGGCTTGATTTGCAATTCCTGTTGCCCTCATTAGCTTCCCTAGATCGAGCTAGGGGGCTAGTGTAGACGTACCCTGTGTCTCCCCCAGCCTTTTGCCACAGCTCTCTATTCAGGAGAGAATCCCAAGATTAGCTCTGTCCCGGGCTTCTGCTTCCTTTCCCCCTTTGTGCCAGCCAGGAAATTCTTCACTGGCTCAGCAAGAGTCCTATTCAGGCCTCCCCATGGCCCAGGAAAGGAATTCAGATTTGTTTTCCCTTTTACTGCCCTGTAATCTGGCTTCTTCCCTTTAGAGTAAACTCCAGCTGGGCTTCATCTGTAATTGGGCCTGATCCATCCGCCAGGTGCACAGTTTCCACAATTAACCCTGTCTGTACCACGGGGGGTACACAACCCAGCACACTAAACCTAAATCACCCTTCTTGCAGATTAAGCTGTTCACTTCTTGTCCTACCCTGAGTGATTGTGAGGAACAGTTGAGCACCATGCGCTTTAGAATGGCCATATACATATTTGATGAACATCATCAGATGGTGGGCAGCTGGCTTTGTGGGCTGGGGAGGTTGTTCCATGAATTGAGGGGTGGAGTACAGCATGGAACAAAGAAGAGGGCAAGAAGGAGGGTTGCTGAAGGAATGAAAAGGGATTTGATGGAGGAATGAAAAGGGATTTGATGGAATATGGCGTTTGAGCCATGAGGCAAGGCATAGCTTTACTGGGCACTGAAGCAAGTACTGGAACTTTAAACATAGAGGAGCCAGTCAAAAGATTCAAAGAGGGAAGTGATATGATTTGACTGATGGGCAAGGAGGCTATTTTATCATGAGGGATGAAAGAAGAGGTTTAGACTAGAGAAACAATGCTTAAATTGACAGCATTTCTGACCACCACAATCCCACATACGTAGACTAGCATGTCCTGTAACTGAAGTAACTGTCCACTGATGAAAAGACATTAGGGCTATGTCTACACTGCGCAGTTATTTCGCAATAAGCTATTCCGGAATACTTATTCTGAAATAGCTTATTTCGAAATAGCACGTCTACACTGCAGAAACCAAGGCAGAAACCCTAATGTAGAGGTGCTATCTCAATTTACAACCCCAAGAGGAATAACTTAGAATGGCTCTGGTGAGGGGCTATTTCGAAATAGCAGCACTGGAGCATCTACACACACATTATTTTGAAACAGCTATTTTGGAATAGGCATTATTCTTTGTAGGATATGGTTTACAGAAGTCAGAATAAGCTGTCCGTTATTTCGAAATTATTTTGAAATAATGGAATTGCTGTGTAGATGCTCGCATAGTTATTTTGGAATAATGGCCGTTATTCCGAAATAACTGTGCTGTGTAGACACACCCTAGGAGAGCAGCAGAGCTGGGCTGACTTCTGTCTCCCAAGATGCGGATCCCTGACATGTTGGTCTTAGACTCTGCTTTTATCTTGCAACTAACTCTACTTTTCCGGTGTGGGCAATATCTTAGCTGACCAGTTCTGGCAAGGCCCACAGAGTATGGACCTATGCTCACTGACCAATGCCAGTACATCAGGAGCCAAAGTAAGTGGAGCCCCACAGCAAGGGAGCTGTTCTGTGCTGAGCTTATGAATAAACAAAGTCCAGCTGTTTCACTGACCTTCCTGGACACTGATGCTTCCCTCTTCCAAATGCCATGAAGCCATCCAAGAAAGCATTCTTCTCTAAATTTGCCTCTTTCCAACGATCCTGTGAGAAGAAAACATTTTTTCCCCAAATCAGCCTTGTATAAATAAGCTTAATGCTATTTTTCCAGGCTAAAAATGATCTTGGATGGCTAATCCTGGCATACGAAGCTCTCTTCAACCTGGTAAGATTGTGTGGCCACTGTATTGCTAGTGCATGGATTTGTAATAGGGTATGCTAAAAATCCTAGCGGTTACACATGCTGCGGGCTTTGCCATATAAAGTATATCTATATGTTCTTTATACTGCAGAGCCCCACACAGCTGGGATCTGATTAGATGAAAAAGGAGAAAAGAGAGCAAAATAAATATATCAAAATAGGCAACTTACAGGTTTGAATGTTTCAGGATCAGGAAAGTATTTTGTATTCCTGTGTGCCCAATATGGAGATACCATCAGCATGTCACCTGCAGGGATGGTGAAAGTCTAAAAGCAAGAGAAACATTTCTGAAGCAAGGAAATCGAACATTGCAAATTCCACCTGCTCCAAAAACATACGATTATGAATGCGGCTGGTTCACCGAGGACAGAATGAAAGACCTTACTAGAGAGGAAGTGCTGCTGGCAAAGCAAAATTGTGAAAATTGTGATGCAAGGGAAAAATGGGTTTGCACTTTTTTTGTTATTGCTGCTGCTTCTTTATTACATATAAGATAGGCCTGAATTTTTAAATGTGGTCTTCTCCCCTGACTCTGGCTGAAGGACTGTATCCAACAGCTGGTGGGACTTTGCCAATCTGTTTGCTGAACTTTACCCTGGTACAGACTGGCCTGTACATTAGTGTGGTATTCCTCAGTTCCTTCAGTCAGAAAGTGAAGATGAGAGTGTGTTGTGGGAGGAAGTAAAATCATTCTTAAACAATGGGTTTAAATAATGTTTGGGATTCCCTATCCCTAATTCATTATGTCCAGATACATTTGGGATGGTGACTTCTGAACGGATCACAATGCACTGACATCCATGCAAAAACAAACCTCACCTGAATTTTCAGTGGATTCACCACTTTCTTAGTGATTGCACCTGGAGACCTTAGCCGAATGGCTTCCAAAATGCACCATTTAATTAAAAGAAGCTTCTTCAGGTCATCTTCAGATACTTCAATATTCTCTTTACCTGTTGCATGATAAGAAATAATATTGTATGAATAAGGTAATACAAAGTACAAAATTCCACACGGGTTATGAGGTTTCATCATGCACTGAAACATTTTGCTAGAGGGCTTCTGGTAGTGTCTCCAGAATTTCCAGTGTTGTCTCTGCCTTGTCTAGAATGCATTCCTCCAACAGTGTAATGTAGTTTTACACTCTGGCTGGCTAAGCCGCCTTGTTATTGTTTTAGCATGTGAGGGTTTTAACATATCGGGCTTTCAGACTTGTGATAGCTCAACAACTTGACAATCTGTTGATGAAAATGGTGGTTTTTCAAGAGTATGTAAATTTTTGCCATTTTTGACCAGTTTGGGTTTTAAATCATGTTGAACTGTGTATGTAGATGGATACCAGGACCTAGTGGATAACACACTGAACTGGGCCTTAGGGCACTTTGGTTCTCTTCCTGGCTATGCAGGTGACCTGCTGGGTGACATTTGGCAAGTCACTTCACAACTCTGCCTTGGTTTCCCTGTTTGAAAAATAGGGGTGATGATACGGACCTCCTTTGTAAAGCACTTTGAGATCTGCTGATTAAAAAGTGCCATAAGTTAATATTGCTGTGCAGTATCCCCCTGGCCCTTCTTATAAAACCCATCTAAATTCACAGAACCTTAAATGTGTTACATTCTTTATAGCCCAATCACATGACCGTGATAGCTGTGTGTTTTTCTGCTCCCCTACTCTTTTTTATTGTACCTGTGTTACGACCCTGACTTACTGTGCCACTCTAAATTTAGCTGACATGCTCTTTGGGAAGGGAGCTTTGGCTTCTTCTGTGGGGCATCCAAGCACAATTTTGAGCACTAAAACAACAATAATAATTAAGCTCTTCAATCCCCATCCTGTTCTTTATTTAATTCCCTTAATTTTGCTGTATGTACATAGAGTCCATTGCAAGACAACTGGTATTTGAGAAAGTTTGCAGATCTTACTTTCAGATACTATGTTAAGCTCACAAGGTCTCAGGAGAGTTTAAAACATGTAAGCAGTTTGTAAGGGGTCTATTGAAGGCAAAGAAGCACTCTGCGAGAACCACAGCGTGAGATAATAAAACATCTTAAAGAGAAAGGCAGAGAGACCGAATGTACAGCAAGGCAACATCACAAAAATACTCTGTGGCCCAATAGCATGCAATAGCCTTCAAGAAAACCAGCCATCTACAAGATTTCTCATTGGGCACACACACAAAATGGGAAGAGAGGCTTCATCAAATGCTAAATAAATCATACATTGTAGGGGGCATAAATGGTTCACAATAATCAGACCAAAACAAGTAGAACTTGCAGCATTCCCCGATCGCAACCAGCAGAGAACATATATAGACCTCCAATACAAGGGAGTTCTACAAGTACATTTCTTTGACTAAGGAAATCCTGCTTTCCACTATTGAATCAGTCCTTGGAAGCAAGATCAGAACAGTCTCAGCCCAAATTCACTACCTAAGCAGGGACACAAGGAGTTTGCCTTCAGGAATGAGCTGAGCCATTACAGGCACATTCGTTCACCCTTCCAGAGAAGGATTGGGTAGTGCTTCCTAAAAGACATAGGATCGTGTATTAAACATGGGGCTTAGAGCCAGGAGGTCCAGAATTCTCTCAATTTTTTTCTGGCGCTGACCCTAAGAATGCTCCAAACATTTCCAGACGTGACTCCACTGAAGATAATGGAGTATCACAGTTTAAAAGAGCTTTGAAATCATAAGCAAGCCTTGTTCCTTTGACAGGAAACCCCTTAGAAGAGAACAAGCACATGCCCTTTAGATGAAGCACATGTCATTTAGAGAAGACCGAGGGGGGACATGATAGCAGTTTTCAGGTATCTAAAAGGATGTCATAAGGAAGAGGGAGAAAACTTGTTCATCTTGGCCTCTGAGGATAGAACAAGAAGCAGTGGGCTTAAACTGCAGCAAGGGAGGTTTAGGATGGACATTAGGAAAAAGTTCCTAACTGTCAGGGTGGTCAAACACTGGAATAAATTGCCCAGGGAGGTTGTGGAATCCCCATCTCTGGAGATATTTAAGAGTAGGTTAGATAAATGTGTATCAGGGATGGTCTAGACAGTATTTGGTCCTGCCATGAGGGGAGGGGACGGGACTCGATGACCTCTCGAGGTCCTTCCAGTCCTAGTATTCTACGATTCTATGAAGATATAAGAGACTTGACCCAAATGCTAGGCTGAACCCTGAAGAGTCAAATCCTTAAATCCTTGCTGCATTCTTCCTCAATTCATTCTCAATTTCGTTCTTGCATTGACGTCAACAGGTAGTTTTGCTTGAGTAAGCAAGGAGCAAATTCTGAGTAAAGATCTCAGGGTTTGCCCCCATATTATTAGCTATTATTTGCATTGCAGTTATACCTAGAAACATCAGTCCTGGTCCTGTACCCAGTGGGCTTGGCACTGTACAGATACAGAACACACTGTTATTTTTTAAATGTATGTTCTAGAACACGACAGTCATTGATTTCTCGTTTATTACCTGCTTTGCCAAAAACAGAAACTATGTCCTCCATGATGTTCTTGTAAATAGAAGGGTGGGACAGTATAAATGCCAAGGTCCAAAATGCCACCTAAAGAGAGATTCTGAAAGAAGTTACCTCAGAAATACGGAGCTGTGTTAAAGCTAGTAAAGATCGCACGTCACAAGAACGGGTTAGAGACATACCCGTCGGCATTTACTTAGGGGATATTCTATACTAAGGATATACAACTTCTTGAAGTCCCTTCCAGCCCTATATGTCTATGATTCTAAGTAAAAAAGCTCACAACCTCCCCAAGTTTTACAGGTATTTGAAGTGGGCCCCTCCCTCGCTGAAAGCAGCTGTGGATAACACTGTATGACAATTTGTGATTTCTATTGCTTCACTGCAGACGTGGACAGTGTGTTAAAGTTTCAAAAACAGCTAAGCTATCTGAGAGATGGCCAAAGGCCCTGGGGTAATGAGCCAGAGGCTCATCCCACATATACCTTTGTGAGTCAGAAGTAGGTATTGAAGTCAGTGGAAAGCCAGCGTGAGAGTCAGGTGATATTAGCGAGAGTATAATGCTTAAATACACTTGCAAACCAATGCGTTGCAATTTAAGTTTTATCTGGAAGGAAGGGCAATACTATTGGGCACACAAAACACGGGTGCGCCTGTTCCACATAAAAAGGCTTTCCTTATACTAAATGAATGTGCACAATTATCCAAGTCCTTTTGCGAGTGTGGGATGACTTGTGACCCCTGGTGCACCCCCTTTGGCACCCCACTTCTCTTTGCCCAGCTTATAAACAGACCCATACAAATCTTTTTATCAAAGAGCACACCCATTTGAAGGGAGGCATTTATTATTAACAAAAGCCATCAGCACAAATAGGAGCTAACTCAAGCAGTATTTAAACACCCCTTTTTATGGCAGTATAACTTATATTGCTCAGGGGTGTAAATAAGCCACCCCGCTGAGTGACATAAGTTACTCCAGCCTATGCGCCAATATGGACAGTGCTGTGTTGGCAGGAGAGCTTCTCCATTCCACATAGATATCACTGCTTGTTGGAGGTGGATTAATGAAGTCGATGGGAGAAATCTCTCCCGTCAGTAACAACACTAGGCAACTTACATCAGTGTAACTATATCAGTGCCACTCCATCACTGTAAGCTCTCTAGTGTCACCACAGCCACAGATACATCTGGGGACATTCGTCTCAGGCTCAGTCTAACTAGTGATCTATGTTTCCTTCCTCCAGGAGACTCTTTCCTGCCTCTGTAACCAGCCTGCTTTTGGAACCCTTTCCAGTTCCTTCTCTAGGGCAAGTCTACCCTACAAAGTAAAGTCGACCTAAGTTATGTCAATGTCCAGCCAGAAGTCAGCAAAACACATCCTTGACAGAAGGGCTCGCACTGGCTTAACTGTCATCGTGGGATGGCTTCTGAAAGGCAGCAATACTTGATGCAAGCAATGTAGTATCTAGAGGCTATGTCTACACTACAAGATTTTTGCGCAAAACTGGCCGTTTTCTGCAAAAACTGGCAGAGCATCCACACCTCAAGTACATTTTTGCACACAAAAAAATACAGTAAATTGTCCGAACAGAGGGCTTTTGCTGGTAGAGTTATTCTTCTCCCTACAAGGAATAACTCCTTTTTGTGCTACAGCTCTTGTGCAAAAAGGCGTGTGTGGACACTCCGCAGGGGTTTCTTGTGCAAAAAGGGCCTATGACAAAAAGCACAGGCCACCACTGTTAATGGCAATTAGAGCTTTCTTGCGCAAAAGCATCCATGCAGTGCGGACTCTCTCTTGCACAAAAGCACATCGCTTTTGCTATGTGCTATTGAAGTATGGACGCGCTTTTGCACAAGACATTTTTGCAGAAAATCTCTTCTGCAAAAAGCTTCTTGTGCAAAAACCCTGCAGTGTAGCCAGAGCTACACTGTGTTGACATTGCATTAACCTAAGTGCGACCCCTCTCATGGAGGTGGAGTTATTAAGTTGATTTAGTGGGTGAATTACATCAGTGGGAGCTGCATTGTAGCGGAGATGCTTACAGACTTAGGCCCACATGAGCCGCCTCACATCAATCTGTCTCTATAGAGTAGACTAGGCCTTGGTTATTCCTTTCCAGTCACAGGAGCATTGATTTAGCCTCACACTTTCTCTCCTTAAACAGCGCTCTTCTCTGTCCTGTGAATCAAATCATCTTGTACTCAGCTGCCCTCCATGCAGCTGACTTGTGGGCTAGTCTGTTGTGAGGCCTTTGCCAGCTGCTCCCTCTTCTAAATTAGCTCTCAGGGCACTGGGCAGGTCAGTCTTTCTCACTGATATCCCCTGCCGTGGGCCCTGGGAGGCAGCAGACAGTATTTATACTAGTTTCTCTCTCCCTGATCATTCCTCTTTGGTGGAGTGAGAGAGGAATCTTGGCTCACTCCCTCTGCAAAACACCCAGCCCAGAGTCCTCAACGCTACCGTGATGGGGGTAATGCATGTTGGAGGTGCTAACGTGAAATGAAGTGGAAAACTGTGGGTTAGATGATATGCCCAAGGGGCTTGAAGTGGGCAATTAAGGGTAGCCAGTGGTCTGCTATGCTACAAAAAATGTTCTAATGAGCCCGGGGTGGATGAGAGTGCTGCGGGGCCCAGGGCAGCACCGTGGGGCCCCGGGAAGTGAAATTTTGCGGGGCCCCCTCCTTTGACACGGCACATGCGCTGTGGCATCACGGCGCATGTGCGGGGCCTTCAGGAAGCGCGGGGCCTGGGGCAGCCGCCCCGCTCGCTCTGCCCTAAATCCACCGCTGAATGAGCCCTAAAACCAGCATCCCTGTTGAGTCCACTATTGTTAGTGTTTAGCACTGTACGATGGGGTGTACAAACTAGGGGTGTTAAAATGCAGTTAACTGACTAGTCACATAGTCGATGGAATTTCCATCGACAACTCGACTTGTCGATAGACACGTCTGGCATTTCTCCTGTCAAGGGCTGGGGCTCTTGTACATTTCAGAGGAGGAATGTGGAACTCCGTGTACAGCATGGGGCCAGTGGGAAGTCCCGCTGACTCGGGGCTAACTATGGGTGCCTGCTTTGAAATATACAAGAATTCCCAACGCTGAGTCCCTAGCTGACCCCGGGCTCCAGGCTGCCCCTTTGAAATGCAGAAGCGGCGTTTCAAAGGGGCAGCCAGCGCACAGCTGACGCCAGGCTCCATGGCGCTTTGGCGTTTTAAAGGGGCAGTACCACACAGCTGGGCTGAGCTCCAAAGGGAGCCGCTTAGCTCAGTCAGAGTGGCTGGAGCAGGGGAGCAGTTGTGTGGTCTAGGCCTCTCCTGAGAACCCACCAAGACCCCACACTGTGGGGCCCAGGCCTCATAACCAGGCCACCCCAGGCCTTTCAGGTGAAGAGGTCAATGGCAAAGAGATACAACTGCGAGAGGAAGACCCATTGTACTACAGACAGAGAGGACTCTAGGAGGGACTCAGAGGCTACTCATTGATGCCAAGAGAGGAAGAGAAGCCAGGGTAGGAAGTGGCCCAGGAAGCAGGCGTAGGAGCACTCTTCCCTCTATTATTGTTTCATTGGTACCTGGGCTGGAACCTGGTGGAGCAGGAGTGGCTTGGGTTCCCCTACCCACAGCTAGTGACGCTTGCTACTGGGTTCCCCTACCCACAGCTAGTGACGCTTGCTACTGGGCAACCAAACCCAGAGTGTTGCCACCAGACAGTGCTGCTGGGACAGGCACTGAACCCCTCCTCCCACGGCCACCCCAACAAGGGGTTGTGCAGGGTTCCTTTTATTGGGGAAATAAATCAGATATGGAATGATGTGGAAAGAGAAAAGAAAGTGTTCCTGCAGCTGTCATACTTACAGGCATAGCGTTCGCTTGGGACGCCCAGAGCAATAAGAGAGCATAATTGGGAGCTAAATGTTTTCCATGCACGTTATCCAGGAGATGCTGAAGGACTGTCTGTGGTAAGTAAAAGCATAAATATACACAAACACATATTAGTGTCGGAAGGTATGGTTTTCTAAAACTCAGATACAGCATTAACATAAGAACATATAAGAACATAAGAACGGCCGTACTGGGTCAGACCAAAGGTCCTTCTAGCCCAGTATCCTGTCTACTGACAGTGGCCAGTACCAGGTGCCCCAGAGAGGGTGGACCAAAGACAATGATTAAGCGATTTGTCTCCTGCCATCTCTCTCCAGCCTCTGACAAACAGAGGCCAAGGACACCATTTATCCCCTGGCTAATAGCCTTTTATGGACCTAACCTCCATGAAATTATCTAGCTTCTCTTTAAACTCTACTATAGTCCTAGTGCTCACAGCCTCCTCTGGCAAGGAGTTCCACGAGGATTAAGCCTAGTTCGAACTTACTAGTTCGAATTAAGGGCTGTGTAGACCCTTACTTCGAACTAGTGGGAGGCTAGCCCTCCCCAGGTTTCCCTGGTGGCCACTCTGGCCAACACCAGGGAAACTCGTCTGCCCCCCTCCCGGCCCCGGACCCCTTAAAGGGGCACGGGCTGG